GAGTGAGAGTCGCTATACCGATTCGAATGCAGAACTAGACGAGGGTATCAACGCAGCTGGATAAGGAAGAGAGTGGAAAGCAAAGTGATTAAACTTTTGAAGTGTTTAGTGTGTTTAAAAGTGAGGGCCTCTATGACATCAGATGTGGTCTTCTTTTTACTTCATTTCATCTCAATTAAGAATTTGAAGCAATGGAGGAAGAATTGCAATAGTAAGAAAGGAGATAAATTCCACAGTTGGCATATTGTCATATTAGAGGTGGTGTGGCAGACCAGGTGGTAGCACTTGTCCTTACTTATCAAGCTGCTCTCTAATGTAGCAGTGATGACAATTCGAATAACCATTTGGAAAAGTGGAAAGAACTTCGAAACTGAAGTAAGCTTAGCCCTCCACGATGGGCGAATCATTAACTGATTGGCTGCCTAGCAGCAAAGACAGATGATGTCATGACACAAATCGGTTAAGAAGGGCAGAAGCGCTCGAGGTACTGGAGAGGAGAAGACGAATATTTCCTTCCTCTAGTCAAGAGTATGTGCAGAGTGGAGGGGTAAAGTGGTGAAACTAGCCATGCAAATCGGAAAATTCATGCAAACAATTAAGGTGGTCTTGTTTGATTGCTCAAATTTGCCAAAGAGGCACTTGAAAAAAAGAGAAAAAGAAAGGTTTCTTCTCACGCGAAACTAAACTGCACTAAGTCAACTCTCAGATGTGTATGTGAAGTAATTCAGGGCGATGAAGTGGGAAAAGTCGTTCACTCTTGCCTTTCCCCTATCTTCGTCGAAAATAGGAGTATCCGCAGACTTGGCCACTTCGTTACCAAAGAAAAAAAGACCTGAAAGGAGGGTAGGCTACTTCATGCCAATTAAAGGTGTAGGATGTGAGGAATGCCTCACAATTTGTAACCCGAGCAGAAAAAAAGATCTCACCATCCACTCCTATGCTGATCCAAACACCAAGCGGTGTTTGCTTCACTGACATTAATATCTTCCTCTGTATTTGCAACAGGGGGAATGGAAACTTGGCAGAGTTATACTATCAAGTTATACTATTAAGTCGATTACCTGTGCTACTGTGCTGGATCTTGACTCTTGAGTGAGCAATGAGAAAGTGATCTTAACCCTAGAAAAGGCGTCGAGATAGATTTTGAGACGCTAAAATCTTCTACATGCTGCGGTATTCTGAA